TAATTGAACTGTTAATGTAAATTGTGTTTAGATACATTCAAATAAGTCTAATTGAACAAATAATGTAAATTGTGTCTAGATACGTGTTTAGGCGGGAAAACAATAAAACCAACTCACCAGAAGATGACATGTGTCACCCAAGTTATTTATTTATTATAAGTATAGATATAGGAACGATCAAATGCAAACTATTCAATTTCTACAAACCGTGCAAACCACCCTCATCCGTCGATTTCATTGTTTAATCTTATGAAAAAATTTCATGAAATTGTTTAATCTTGTGAAATTGTTTCATATAATTTTTTTTATAAAGTTGTTTCATATATGGTTATGAAATTGTTTCATATAATACTTAATGAAATTTTAATGAAACTGTTTCATGTATTTCTCTAAAATTAAAATAATTAAGATGATAATATTCATGATTAACACCATCCACAATAAAAATGATTAATCAACCTCTCATAATTACAAAAAAAATGAAAAATTATGATTGGTTGAATGAGGTTTGCACGGTTTGTACAAATTGAATGGTTTGTATTTGATCGCTCCTCTCTCTCTTTATATATATATATATATATATATATATGGGAGCGTTCAAATAAAAATCACTCAATTTGTAAAAACCGTGAAATCCTCATTCAATCAATCATAATTTTTCATTTTGTTCATTTTTTTTGTAATTATGAGAGGTTGATTAACCATTTTTATTGTGGAGGGTGTTAATCATGAATATTGTCATCTTCATTATTTTAATTTTAGAGAAATACATGAAACAGTTTCATTAAAATTTCATTAAATATTATATGAAACAATTTCATAACCATATATGAAACAAATTCATCAAAAAAAGTATTATATGAAACAATTTCATAACCATATATGAAACAAATTCATCAAAAAAAGTATTATATAAAACAATTTCACAAGATTAAACAATTTCATGAATTTTTTTATAAGATTAAATAATGAAATCGACGTATGAGGGTGATTTGTACGGTTTTTAAAAATGAGAGTTGTTTTCATTTGAACGCTCATCTCTCTCTCTCTCTCTCTATATATATATATATATATATATATGTTTAAAGTCTTAAATACAAGTTTTAATGCATTGAATACAAACTTTTAAAGCACAACATAAAAAATCTCTTAATTACAAAGTTGTATGCATGATATATAACTTATTAATACACTGATTTTTCACCACAACCAAAAACGGAGCCCTAGACTCCATTTTCTTCTACAATAGTCTCAAAAGCTTCCATTTGGTATAAAATTTATTTTCTCTCTTCCCTATACAACTTTCTTTTCTTCAACATCTATTTTTACACATAAATAACCATTGAAACACAATATACAAGCATTATATGCATGTTTTGAATTCTTTAAAAGCTTTTGACCCTTTTTGTCTTCATAAGAGACTAAAATTTCTGGTTGCTTTCACATTTTTGGTCTAACTCTATCGATGCTTTGGCTCCAATATCATTTACCTTCTTCTTTTACTTTTCGTTTGAATTTCAAAATCCAAATGGAAGAACTAGCTTGTCATTATTTTATAGTCTCCTAGTGATTCTTGTCTCATTTCAATTTTGCTTATCCAGTGCATTGCATGAGTACACTGCTAGTAATAATAAGAACACCTAAAAAAATCTAAAATGGAGAACAAAAAGTCAAAATCTTTAAAAAGAAATACATTCATCTTCAACAGATTCTCTGGTTTAAAGAACCTAACATTGATTATAATATTAAAATATTATTTCTCACTGTAAATATTTATTTTCAAAGTTTTCCTATTGGTTGTCTCACATGGTAATGATTTTTAGGGTGTTCTCCATATTTTGAGAAAAACCCTTTATTTCTTTTTCCATTTTGAAGATAGTTTTAAGAAAGCTGTTGAATCAAAATATTGACGGAAAATCTCCATTTTCAAAAGAGAAGCTGTAAAAGATGCTCTAATATTATTACGAAATAATAGAGAAAAGGTACTATGCCTTGGAATATCCCAATCAAGAACGAGAGAAGATGATTTAGTGGAAGAGATGGTGACACGTTGCAACTAACATATATGTAAAATCGGTTTGAAAAGTCTTATCATTATTCTTAGGCGACGTTTGTTTTTTAGAGATGCTAAAGTCTAATTTCACTTTTGATTTATAAGAGGTGGTCATGAAATTTGAAATCTAGATCATTAAGATTGTTTGTTTTTACATTTGAAATCTGAATCGTTCAAACTAGTGCAAAAATATAAAAGATAAATAGTTTTTGTTAACAAATATCTTCTAACCCCTAAAATACAACCATTTGATAGAGGGTGGATTAAGATTAAGAGGTATTAAGGGATACGTTTACCACGTAAAATCCTAGAGAACATTTAGAGCTTTTAAACTCTTATTTTAGAAATAAAACATTCTTAATACCCAAACATTTGAACAAATCAAATTCAGAGGTATTAAGAGGTAATTTTGAAAAAACAAACAGACCGTTACATTATCAAACTTATTGGAATCTAAGTGATTCAATATCGTTTATAGTGAAACCTAGGGATCGCTTATTCAAACATCTATTGGAAAAATATATCAATTTTTAAAGCATTTGACAAAAAATCTTAAAAATAATTTTTTATGTATGAAATGATGTTTATTGATATATATTACTTAAAATTCACTATTACAAGTAAATTGTGCGTAGATACAATTTACCAAACCTTTATTTTTGAATTCGTGTAATTAACTGCAGATAAACATACCCAAATACAAGATAAACATTTCAATTTAAATATAAAAAATTAAAATATAATTAGGATAATTATTGACTTTTAAGATAATACTTAATTATCATCCTTATAAAAATTATATTATTAAACAAAAAAAATTACTTTGTTATTAAATCTAAATTAAAAAAATTGAATTAAATAAATTACATAGAAAACAGACACTTTAAAATAAATTAATACTAATATCAATAAAAAAAATTCAAATTTATATTTCATTACAAAATAAAAATATTATCGTTTTTTAAAACCACGTAAAATCGTATTATGTCGACAGAACAAATGAATAACATATAATACTAAAATCGAGATATATCTCACAACATTGCGTGAGTACGTTTTTAGTATCTATACTATAATATAAAACGTTTGACAAAAATTCTTAAAAACAATATTTTATGCATAAAGTACTGTTTATTGATGCATATTACTTGAAATTCAAGATTACAAGTAGAATGTGAATGAGTATATTTTATTAAAGCTCCGTGTTTGAATTCGTGTAACTAACTGCAGATAAAAATAATCAAATACATGATAAACATCATTTTAAATATAAAAAATTTAAAATATAATCAAAGATAATCATTGATTTCTAACAGAATACTTAATTATTATCTTTAAAAAATTATTTGATTAAACCAAAAATAAATTAGTTCGTTTTTAAACTTCAATTAGTTATAAAAAAAATTGAATTAAAGAAATTACACAAAAACAAAAACTTTTAAATAGTTAATTTAATACTAATTTCGTTTATTTTTTTAAAAAATTATAAAATCGCATTTTATTTTTTTTCAAACCCACATAAAATCGCATTATAACATCTATAAAACCAAAATATAAAACGAAACATTAAAATTAAGATGTATTTCGCTGTATTACGCGAGTACCATTCTAGTTATTAAATAAGCATCGTAAAGATTTAAAATTACCGGAATATATTACTCAGTAAGATAAATAAAAATATTGAAATTTTGTGATGCTTATTCGAAAGTGAAAAAACCCCTTAATTATTTGAGATAATATTGTAATTTCTGTATAAAACTAAATATGGTATTAAAATCCTTGAATATATTCAAATCAAACCATATATATCGGTAATAAATATAAAAGAATTTGTAACAAAATACAAGTAATTATTTTTTTTTAAAGATATATTTATTTAATTTTGACTGATATTTTACGAACGGTTGTGAATATATATATTTAAGTAATTTGTTTAATTTTTTTTATTTGAAAACCACTAAAATCAACCACGTGTACACCTCTCTCTCATGTACTAGGATTCTAATTTTCCAACTAAACCCCGAAATAATTCATCTAATTTTAGAAAGAGTTAAATGCAAATTTAGTCCTTATGATTTGTTGAAATTAACAACTATCGTCTCTATAAATAAATTTTAATGAACCAGGGTCCTTTTGTTTCATTTTTACAACAAATCGAGTTCTTAATATTAACGGCTGTTAAAAGTTTCTGTTAGTGTGAGGTTATTTTGGTCTTTCTATGTTTTTGTCTCATTATCTATAAACTATAAACATACACTCAGGCATGTCACTTGTCCCATTCCCTTTCTTCCAAGAACTGCTCCTTACATCCCTCGTCGATGAGCCACCCTTGCCGTTGGTTTCTTCTTCGGCAGAACACCCCTCTCTCAGTTTTTCTTCTTACTCACCGTCTGAACATACATCAGTAGCGCCACCCCTCCTTGTTTATCGTTCTAGAGATGTTGGCTCCATAGCCATCTTCGACATTGAGTATTTGACTCCACAATAGATCTCCATCTCCAGTAAATGAAAGCGAGCGAAAGAATTTGATTCATTCAATGTGGTCAAAATTTGTAACAGATGAAGAATGGAAACAAGGTTTAAGGAAGGGTCGAGGATAGGCTACCAGAGATAGGGGTCATCGCTATGGTTTGTTAGACATTGTCGAAGATAGAAAATCATTGTGTTTATGCCGAGAATTTGCTGCCAAAGTTTCTTTTTACGTAATTGTTGATGGGACATTCATCTAAAAATAAAACGCCCCTCATACTAACCAACTTTTTTAACAGTTGTTAGTAGTAGATACCCAATTTGCTCTAGAAACGAAACTAAAGGGTTTTGTTTCGTTAAAATGTCTTTGTAAGGACGATAGTCGTTAATTTCAACAAAGTACAGGGACTAAATCTGCATTTAACTCTTTTTAAATATTAAATGAATTCATTTTATCGTCTTATCGTCATTCGTCTTCGTCCCCTCCATTATCTTCGCCGGAAAACCCCATTTTCCGCCGGCGAGAACCCTCTCCCCACGAATGGCATCATCAATTCCTTACATTTCACTAACTGCGCCACTAAATTCACACACAAAACTTTCAATACACAAACCCCTCTTCTGCTTTCCCAATTCCATCTCCTTAAAACCTATCAATAAAACCCCTCGTTTTCCTTCTCCCGTAATTCGGAAATCCTCTTCTAATTCCGCCGGCGCCTCCGCGGCATCCGCATGCTCGACGTCGTATCCGTTCATCGGAAAAGTTGGATTGCATAGAAGAGAAGGTAACTTCATGTTACTGTCCTACGGTACCAACCCTAATACCGGATCCATCGACGGAGTAAAAACTGATGTTTCCCAAATTCTCTCGGCGATGCTTCCATTTGTGGTGGCGCTCACCGCGATTGCTGCTCTAACTCAGCCATTAACTTTCACCTGGTAATCAATTGTTTATTAATCACACTTTTAAACTTTTCCTTTTTATCGACAAAAAAGGGGTTTAGAATTTTTTCATGAACCGATGCCATTAAAATACTAAACATTATAGTAAGTATTTGTTTAATCCAATTGTTGTTACTAATTGTTGTTTTGGGGCTTTTTGATGAATAATTTAATGGAAAAGAATCTTTGGGTAAGTTACTGTCATGAATCATGCTTGATTAAGTCAGATTTGCAGGGTGTCCAAAGAACTCTATGCTCCTGCTCTTGGTGGAATCATGTTGTCAATTGGAATTAAGCTTTCGATTGAAGATTTCAAGCTTGTTTTCAAGAGGTCAACTTTTGTTCAGTCTCATTTGCTCTCAATAATGGTTGCTTTCTAGATTTGGACCAGTTTGAACCCCCTTTCTCTCGTTAAGGAATCTTTTGGAGAGTGATTCAGGGTTGTACATATACTAGCACGGTATCATAGCCATGGTCGTACACTATCTAGAGAGTCAGTGACTCAACATTTTGTGGCAATCTATACTTGTCTAGCCTCATCTTGACACTTTGGGACAAAATTTTCTCCGTCTGGCCACCATTGGAGGGGGAGTGTTAGAGTCATGTTGGCTAGAATTGGACCATTTCATCTTTCTATATGTTTGAACTCCTTTTGTTACTCACTCTTTTGAAGAGTGATTTGAGGGTTTCACTTACGCTCACGTGTTATCAGAGCTGAGGTCTACCACCCAGGAGGCATGGACTCAACAAGTTGGGGGCAATATGTACTTGTCTATCCCCTTCTCCACACTCAAAGGACAAAACTTTCCTGATCTAGCCTCCGTTGGGGGCGTGTTAGGGTCCTACATTGGGTAGATTTGGTCCATTTTTTCTCTATATATGTTTGAACCTCCTTTTCTGCCAAGGGCTCTTTTGGGGTTTCACATATTCTCATGAGAATATGAGATGGGTTTTGAAGTTTGATTTGTGTATTTATTTTGCAGACCGTTACCATTATCTGTGGGGTTTCTTGCTCAGTATATCTTGAAACCGGCTTTAGGGGTGTTTGTGGCAACATCATTCGGGATGTCTCCAATGTTCTTCACAGGGTTCGTATTGATGTCGTGTGTTGCAGGCGCTCAGTTATCGAGCTATGCTAGCTTCTTGGGCAAAGGGGATGTCGCTTTGAGCATTCTTTTAACGAGTTCCAGTACTATCGCCTCTGTTCTTTTTACCCCTCTTTTAACCGGCCTTCTTATTGGATCGGTTGTCCCTGTGGATGCTGTGGCTATGTCCAAATCAATCTTGCAGGTATCAAATATCAAACACCTGGTGTGCATTATGAACTTGATTGATTTCTGATTTTGGTATTTTGTTTGTTAATTTCAGGTTGTTCTTCTTCCGGTTACACTTGGGTTAGCACTGAATACATACGCAAAACCAGTTGTATCTGTTCTTCAGCCTGTGATGCCATTTGTGGCTATGTTTTGTACTTCCATTTGTATTGGCAGCCCTCTGGCGATTAACCGGAGCCAAATTCTTTCTGCAGAGGGTCTCAAGTTGATTTGGCCGGTTTTGGCATTTCACGCTGTGGCGTTTACTGTTGGTTACTGGATTACCAAACTTCCGTTTTGTAGGTAATGCGTTCAATCTTATATGTTTCTGTTGAATTTGCCTCCATGTAACATCCCTGACCAATCGTACAAGATATTGTCTGCTTTTTCCACACCTGGACTCATGGTTTTAAAACACGTCTATAGAGGAGGTATCCGGTCCCTAGTAAGACAACCTCTGTTCTCTTTCCCAATCGATGTGGGATCTCACACTCCGTCACTACAACACTATAACAAAATCCATTTTATAGGATGCTATAGCCTATATGTATCAATATCCAAATAGACTGTTTTATATGTCCTATGTAAAGGTATGAAGTTGATTGAACGATTTTTGAATTGTCCTAACAAGTACTTTTAAGCCATTTTGAAATAAACCGTTCTATAGGCTTTCTTAAAAGTTCCTATGAACACGTATTTTTATAGGACGTTTGTTTTTACAAGATATTAGTCATATTTGGCAAAATGGTGTACTGTAAATCTGATTTTGTTGCAGTGACCATTCGGTTCATGACATTCATTTTGTTTCTTTCGCGTCATTGATACAATTACCAATTTGCAAATGGGTTTCTTCAATTCTTGAATTTTGTATTTAAGTTTTTGAATTTCCTGATATTGTTGTGACTAGGCAAGAGGAAGAAGTAAGCCGAACGATTTCTTTATGCACGGGAATGCAGAGCTCCACGTTGGCCGGACTTCTTGCAACGCAGTTTCTGGGCAGCAGCCAAGCCGTTCCGCCAGCATGTTCGGTGGTTGTAATGGCGATCATGGGACTCTGCCTAGCTTCTTTTTGGGGAAATGGTTATCGAATCCGAGACTTGCCGTATCTTCTCTTCCCACAAACTGATTCCGCTGTTAGCCCTCAAACATAGTTCTCTGCGTCGATTTTCGGGTGCATCTTCGATTAGTGCTAAACATGAAACGGGCAGGTTAGAGTAGCAGCCAGCGGATGCATATCTGCGTCCCTTTTATACAGTCCCGATAGTATTTACATGCTAGAAACCATACCGAAAGCAGGATAGAGTAAATGCCAGGTTTGAATGAGGCGAAGGGGCCGGTATCGATCGGGTTTTTGAAAGCCGGGGGATATATAGTCGGTATGTGCGTTGCCACGAGTTTTTTGATTTATAACTGTGTAATTAATGTCTGCTTATAAATCAATTGAAGATTGTGATTCCACGTACATCCTTTTGGTGTGTGTGAAAAAAAGTGTGTTGAATGTGTGTGGCATCGAGCTCAATTGATGATTCGATAATCGATCGTTGATGTCTAATCAGTATCAGTACGTGCTCTTTGGTTCTTTTGGACCAATTCACTAAAGTTGAATGAAAATGATGTAATGTTATTGTTAGCATTCCATTCTTATTGAAATTTTCTAAATGTATGTTACAATATTTCTCCTTTCATAAGATTTCATTAAGTAAAAATTTCACCATATTAAATTATTTAATAAAAAAAATTATATACTAAATAAAATTAAATTGTTTCATTTATTTTTCATTTTAATGAAGTTTGTTTACTAAAATTAATAGAATGAAGATGATAATATTTGAAATGAATTATTTAAAACAATTTCATCATATTAAACAATTGCATAGTGTGTATCACAATTTCTACACATAGATCTGATTTCTATACACCTAGATCAATTTCGGTTTCTGGTTCTAATTTCTGATCGGAGCCTTAACCTAGATCACGCCTGAGATTTAACACATATCTAATTTCTGATCGTTTTGGATTTTGATTGTGGGTTTATTTTTGGTAGGGTTTGGGTGTAATAAAGTGGTATCAGAGTATCACAATGAAATTGTGTATTAAACTTCTTGGATATCACAATTTGTATCATAGCGGGTTCAGTGGTATCATAGTGAGTATCATATTGTGTTTGTGTCTTACTGTTAGAAGTTCTTAGTTCTCACAGTGTGTATCATATGTTGATATGGTATTCATTGGAGAGAAGAAGTGTTTGAGAGAGAGAGAGAGAGAGAGTTAAGAGGGGAAATCTAAAATGCCTAAAATGTCCTTAATTAATATTTTAAATTAAAATTATTAATTTCCTAATTTAACATGTGATTTGTAGTTGAGGTTGGATCTCACGATTACCACAAACTATCTAGTTATCCCTTAAATGAGCCATATATATATATATATATATATATATGAGCGATCAAATGAAAACCATTTCAATTTGTAAAAACCGTAAAAACTACTCTCATCTGTCTTAATCTTATGAATTTTTTTCATGAAATAGTTTAATCTTGTGAAATTGTTGCATATAATACTTTTTTTGATGAAGTTGTTTCATATATGGTTATGAAATTGTTTCATATACTACTTAATGAAATTTTAATGAAACTGTTTCATGTATTTCTCTAAAATTAAAATAATGAAGATGATACTATTCATGATTAATATCCTCCAGAATAAAAATGATTAATCAACCTCTCATAATTACAAAAAAATAATAATAAACAAAATGAAAAATTATGATTGGTGAATGAAGTTTTTACGGTTTTTACAAATTAAATGATTTTCATTTGATCGCTCCCCTATATATATATATATA